GGCATAAAGGTGCCACGCGCCCCCTGCCCCGATACGCTGCCCCGGCCCAACGGTGCCACGTGCCTCCTGCCCTGGCCCAACTGTGCCACGTGCCCCCTGCTCACACTGCTGCTCTGGAATGAGGGTGCCACGTGCCCCTGGTCACCAGGTGCCCCATCAGAGAGACGCCGAAGGGGTGGGCTAGCTCCCGAGGGCAAACGCTGACTTGAACGCCCCTCTTTCCACAGATGAATGGGGCCTGGCGGCACAATCCCCCAGAGCCACAGCGGGCGGGGGCAGGGTGGACTGACCATTGTTCCAGGGGACATCTGGCACCACGGTGGCACTCCCGGATACCTCCCCGCACTCCACGTGGCTGGGCTGCTGCGGGGCTCCTGCTGCCCAGCCATGCCTGAGCCATCGCTCATCTCCCTTCGGCCCGGCCAGGCCGGGCCGAGGCCCAGGGCCCGAGGCTGCCTTGCCACCTTTGGCTGCTGCTGGGCCGGCTCCCTGCAAAGCCAGGGCAGATGGGCGGAGCCTGCCCTGAGCCTGGAGCCCGCCCAGCCCTGCTCACCTCCGTGAAGATATGCTTCATCTGGGCCTGCTTGTTCCGAAAGCGCTTTATCTTCTGGGAGATCCTGGGGTCCTTCTCCAGCTCCTCCAGCGTGGCCCACTTGCAGTGCAGGTAGGAGCTGTGGAGCGAAGTAACCCCCAGCACCACGCCCCTGGCTTGTGGCAAGGCCGGAGGCCAAGGACAGGGCTGCCACAGCAGTGCCCAGCTGGGCAGCGGGCCGAGCCCAGGGGAGGCTGCAGCACGGAGCCGGAGCCAGGCAGGCAGGGTCTGCGCGCACACACCTGCACACAGCGCGGGCGCAATCCAGGACACAGACGGGCACTTACAAGTTCCTGTACTTGACGTAGAATTCCTCCGTCTCGTAAGCCAGGCCGCCCGGGTGAACCTGAAACCAAGAGCAGGCGGATTAGCTCCAGCCGGCGCAGGGACCTCTCCCCGCTCCACCTGTGGTGGAGCTGGGTGCCGGCCCGGCTCTAGCTGCTACCAGGACGCTTCCTCCCCACGCTGCCCCAGCGTATTCTGCACACGGCCGCAGGGCTCCCAGCAGCTCAGCTCTCTGCTTTCCTGATGGGCCACGGCCTCCCCGGCCAGGCTGGGTGGGCACTGCGCCTGCCCCCTCGCCCCGGCGGGGCTGGACTCTAGCCCAGCCCGGTGCCAGCTGCACCCCGTGGGGGCTCTGGGGGGGCC